GGACGAGGAAGAGGTCGAGCTAGAGGTGGTGGAAGAGGCAGAGGAAGAGGACAAGGAAACCGCGCCCAGCTTTTGGAAGAAATGAGAGATAACAGAATCACTCAGCTCGAAGTAATGATTAGCAACAGAAAATAATACCAAACTTATTATCTTTGAATTATTGTGCCCGCCTTACCAATGTCCTTCTGTGCGTACATGTTTCTCAGCTCCTACTTATGATAATTGAGATGTGCATTGTAAGAAAAAGTAGTCATATCGAAGTTATTTTCAAAGCGATCAGGAACATATTTCCTATAATTATTATATTTGTTCATATAGTGTATTATGACAATTTTTAACAATATTCTTATTACCAGTTTCTTCTAATTTACACCAAATAATAGAACCAAACACATAAACATTTAGCAATTGTTTTTATTGCATTAACAATTTGGTTTCTTACTTGCACCATGTTAAACCAATATTTTGTGCTTTGGCATATTTTTGCTACATTGAACTGTACAAGGACTTGCAATTGAAATCAGACCTCTATGTTTTCCTTATTTCTCATGAGGGATGTCATCAAACTGATATCCAAGGCACAGCCCAGTTTGCTGTTGAACATCCTCGACAATTCAAATGTTGGTAATGGGCAGCCAACTGGACCAGAACCACCAAAACCAGACCAGCCATCATGGTGTTCCTGCTCTCATTGTAGAGAGATACCAACACAGCAGGAGAGGCTGTGTTGTAAAAGACAGCCATTGAATTGCCATTCAAGGTTACCGGTAAGATTACAGCAAAATACTTACAATACGCTTTAGACAGTATAGAGGAAAGAATGTCCTTTTTAACAAGTTTGAAATAGAATTATTAGAGAAAGGTATAGCTTGCTAGCCACCATTTATTTATTGAATAATAAAACATTGCTTCCTTTTCTGGAGCACCTTCGTGTAACCTTTATCTTGTTGGGGACTGTGTTGCTCATGCTAGTACTTTTTGTTTGTGTCATCTCCGTTGTCGTACTATTGTTGTTGCAGAATCTGTCTGCATTATATGATTTACAATTTCTTTTTTATTGTTTTTCTTTTCTTTTGCTGTAAAGCCTTCATTGGATTTGGTTTGGCATTTATAATTTGACACTGAAATGGTTTAATATTTATGATACAATATATATATATATATTTTTAAACTACATGTAATTAATAACAAAATATTCTATATTTTTAGGATTTCCAGCAATGTGTTCTCGATGAACTTGTTCTTGAGCTGGCAATCCGGTACCGGAATGATTTCCTGGCACAGCCTGAAGATGAAAACTACAACAGGTGTCATCGCCTTGCTGCCTACAGGCAGTATATCCTGTGGATTCACGGATATTTGGGGTCCGGCAACAGGCGAGTCATACCAAGCTGTTGCGTTTGGCGAATCAGGGACAAATATCCAGATGCAACTGGCCAGTACGTTGGATTTGTTGGTGGCAGACTTGGATAATAAATAGTAATATGAAAAAAAGGGTATCATTTGGTCTTTATTTTATTTTTTGAACACTGAACTGAAGAATAATGATCTGAATCAACAATAGCACAAAGCATAGAAAATTTAAAACATAGGTAATCTATTGATTACAAATTTCACCTCGTTCTCCAAACAATGACATATGGGACAAGATCTCAGAGAAAACAAAGTCGGTAAACTATGAAATATAGGTCACAGTGATCTAATTTAGTCTGTATACTGATGAACTACCATTTTTCAGTGGTTGTTGTTGAAGTTTATAGGTGTTTGTCGTTTCACCTTGCACTCATTGCATCAACCAAATATAGTTCACCTATTCCTTATTGTATTTGAAAAACAGACCAAACAAGAACAAGAGGCCCAGAGGGCCTGTATTGCTAACCTGAATATGTTTAAAATAATTGGTATGAAGTAAAGATATAGCACTCAATGGTAGGTGCTGTAAGTACATATGAAATTTCAGACAGATCGTTCCAGTACTTGAGATATAGCAAGAACAAACTTCAAACAGAACCTCACCCCTATGCCCCTAGGGGGGGGGGGGTCATACCCACCAATTATACAAAATTAAGTCCCCTTGACCCAAGCATGCTCCAGATTAAATAAGGATAAAATCCCTTAATCCCAATGGTCGAAGAAAGATTCGGAAGGTTTCATCTCTATTTCTCCTGTTGGGCCCTGCCCTTCTGCCCCCCTCGGAAACCACATCCACTGCTTATACAAAATTGAGTCCCTTTTGCCCAACGATGCTCCAGACTAAATAAGGATAATATCTCTTAATCCCTATGAAATATTAACGACTGGAAGTTAAACGGACAACAATCCATCAGCCCAACTGTAATCAAGAGTTTTTTCTGGGTCTTCCATGTTAAATCTTGATATCTTCTGTGCAACTAGATCAGCTGTTGATGGTGGCAAGGTTGGTGCAAGTACTGCGGACACTCTCCTTGGGTTATTGACGTCTAGCAGCACTTTCCTGTTCATTCCAACAGGATCATGTAGTCGGTTCTCTACTATAGTTCTTATAATGGTAGGGACATGGTGATAGTCTTTGTCCTCTCTTTTAGCATACACTGACCACTGAATACCAGTCTTACTGTAGTATCTCTGATACCTGAACATATTTTTTTTAATATAAGTATTCAAAAGTGTACCAATTTTGATGAAAAGCATGCATGTTCGTAAAAATACTTCAGTGATAGACAGACCCAACTGATCAAATATTTAAGGGCTCCCCAAATAGGGGACTGATTAGTGTCGGAGACACTATATTCATAGTAGAATTACGATACAAGTTAGACACAAATACTTTTTTTGCAATAACCATAAACACTGTTACTGCGGACGACATCCAGACATCCAGACAGGGTGATTCCAGCATCCCCCCCCCCCTACTTTGTTGCGGGGGTATAATAAGGGTCATTTTCATTCCCCCTCAGTTTTCATTTTGCAAGATACTAACTCAGATGTTATTTAGAAACACATGTTTCGTTGATAAATGACTCATTAGCGAGGCTCTTGCCAATATGATGAAAAATATCCTAACTAATACAGTAGTGTTTTAAATGCAGTCTGCATATGGAGGCTGACAGTACTGTACTATTCCATAAGCTATTTTTTCTTACCTAGTGCTGCCATCTTTGTTGACCATCATTTGCCTTTGGCAGTGAGCGTTGTTATCCAGGGCTGCTAACAGATTGCGAGCTCTGTATGAAACTGGATTAAATGAATGGCGCTTGGAAGCATATTTAAGGATCAAGTTTTGGAAATTTTCCAATTCAGCTGTGCTCCTGAAAAAAGAACAGTAAATAGTAAATAACAAGTGAATCTGTAAGCTACTGCTCACTATAATACCCCTGCTAAAATTATAAGGTTAA